TTCTTGTAAACAAGACGAAAACAGTTCGAGTGAAATTGTCCTATATATACAAGTGGGTAAAGTGTATGGACAAAAGAGTCGCCTAATTCGGGGTGTGAAGATCAATATTCACAAGACTTAAAAAGTTTTCCCAACATGTTTTGACATTTTCTAAATTCTTTTTGCTAAAATTTTCGGTACACTTGTTAGAAATTTTCATTGGGTGACAGTTCCACTGAAATTTCAAGGAATTTTGTAATTAAAAGGTCACGATTAGAGGGAATAATCAATGGAAACTATAAATTTTAGTTCAATGATTCCCCTGAAAATTACTTCTGAACTGCCCAGAAAATTCTTTTTTTTCTGTAACAGTGAAGTGCGATGAATCGCGCCAACAACAAAAACTGGGTGCATCAGATATTCCATTTCAAACCGGTTAACCCTTGACCCTCACTCTCCAGGAAGTAACGGGGATTTTTTAGTGTATTGAGAAGCTCAAAAAACTGTTTTCTGATTTTTTTCAAAATTATGCTATCATATAATTTTTATGATTTTTTCCGTTTTTCTACATTAAGAGAAATATCGACATAATATCACAAAACCAATTTCTTGCGTCAAATATCTCATCTCTTAAGGAGAAAACGCGTCGGATAAAAATTCCGCCTAACGATTCAGGCCGTGTAAGAATCCAGTGAAATGTTTATGACTCGAATACAAACACTTGGCGATAAAGTGACAATTTCTTGCCCCAAGAAATCATTTATTTTGTGTGAAAAGATGAGAAAATTACAAAAAAAAACTAAAAGCTTCGATTCCGTGAATCATGGATCAGAGACTTTCATATTCACAATCCCAGTGATTGAAAAAAATATAAGATTGAGGGTTAGAAGTTGACTGGTTCGGCATGGAAGACGGCATATCCACGATTTTCCGAAATTTTATGGAATTTATAAACAAGAAATATTATGAAAGTAACCCAAAACATGAAGGACGTTTATTGATGACCAGCCGTGCTCAATTGATTACGAAATATCAAGTGCGTGCTCCTCAAGAATGTGTAAAACATGACATGCGCGACGCGTGTGCATCAAATCAATAAATAAATAAATAAACTAATCACATGCATTCTTTCACTCGAAAATTCTCCGATTGTTCAACTGCTTCACGGATTCGCATGTTTCGCAATAAATTCCATTAGTCAGAAGATATGTGAGTGCGTAATTCAGCCCGACAATTCAAGAATTTTTTCCATGGAAAAATTATGGTTCTCTTCTTTTCCATTGATTGAATCATGAATTCAGTAGTGAAGTGGTCAATCGGTTTAAGTCGTCTTAGCTCCCGCACTGGGAGAAAAACGACGAAGTTCTCAAACAAGTCTTAGTTGTCCCAAGAAAATAGTTTTTTGAAAATTATCAAAAAAGAATTTTTTTGTCCCAAACATGCAGAGAGTGCGCCGGAATGAAAAAATTGTCGCCAAAATAGATTTAGTAGTTAAAAAAAAATTGGATTCTCTGTAGACGCAAGAAATGTCATTTCTAGCACTACTCCTTCGTTATTCGATGCTCCCATACGTATTTTGCTCCCGAAAAATCTGTTTTATGCGAAACAAGGGATAGTAGTTTTTCGTTTCGGCTGTCTAATAATCACAGACAAGAAATGAACCCTTAAATGAAACAATAACAATGATATGATAGCAATCTTGTAACTTGGGGATAAAATATTTGTTGATAAATTTTCCTCTGTATGAGATATTTTCATCCTGAAAAGGCACCGTCTGGTGTGAATTATCCGCCTCTTGAGCCAAATATTTCGTTGCTGTCGAAAGCAGAACAATTATTCATGTTTGAGACTTTCAAATTCGAACAAAACAAATTCTTTTTTGGCAATTTTCAACTAGCGATTTTGTTGCCCCAAATAAGACTTGTTTGACAACGTATTTGTTTTTCTCTCAGTGCAGTTGAGTTTTTGTTGCATAACTCGGAATTTAAGAAAGATAGCGAAATTTTTGTAAGATCTCTATCGATAGTTTTCACTTTTCTTCACAAAAAAGATTTTCAGGACAATTTTGCCAACTCCTTCAGAATTTAAGATATTCATCGAGAACTGGCGCCAGAATGGAATTGACTTAAACCGTTTGACCACTTCACTACTGAATTAATCAATTTAATTGAATCAGATTATTTTGGTTTCACTTGAATTCCAAATAAACACTGATTATGAATCTCAAACTTGTGTCATAAACCTCCAACATCTCGCGTAGGAAAAAAAACTTTCACCGGATGCTCCACCCAACAATTTCACGCATACACGTTTTGCGAAAAATCTCCAACACTCGCAAGTGAGAGACAGAGTCTAGAGTTCAAAGACCGTTGGGGTTGACAAATAATTAGGGAGAAACTACTTGTTTCTCTCCCTCTATTTTTTTTTCTCCTCTTCGGGTTTTGTTGAGGTGGACAATGACGAGGAGTATTTCCTTGAGAGCGCCGAGATCAACATTCTGCAATCTAAATTGCGACAGTGGAGAGATCACCGTAATTTCTCGATACAGGAAGTAAACTCGCGAAGAAAATGAAGCGAGTCTTTACGCTTTATTATCAAAATTATTATTTTCTGATCTAGACTGTTGGAAAATTTTGGAAATTTCATGGAAAATATGATAGTAATTCCCATGAGTAAGAAAAAATACATGAATAGATGAAAAAATATAAAATTACATAAACTTTCAATTTTTCCCTGAAATTTCATGGATTTTTCTGAATTTTTACGGAATAATTTAACTGACAAATCAGGTATTTTATTGATTTTCAGATCATTTGAACCGAAAATAAATGGAATATTTGATTTTTCAATGTGAATATTTTCTGGAATTCCAGTGGAAATTAAAAACGATAAAAATTTCCAGGATTTGGCACGGGAAATGTCGACGAAAATTTTTAATAGTGTACTTTGTTTTCTCAATTCAATAATGATAGAAATTGGAGGTCTGTTTCTTCCAACTGAAATGTGCAAGTTTCCAAACAAGTATTGTTCAACGATTTAATCTCAAATTAAAAATTAATCATTAAAATTAATTATTGATTATTTTAGGTCATCAGGACATTGCAATCATATGAACTAGAAAAGTTTTTTTAGGCCATATGTCGAATGACATTTTTTGTCATAACGGGCGCTACGCGTTCGTAAATCGCAGTCTTACGGTCGGAATGACCAAAATATTTCTCCTGTTGATTGGAATAATTATTGAGACTTGATGAAATCATAAAAAATGGATTTTTCTTATTAAAATTTTAGAGAAAACAATATTTCTCCTGTTGATTAGAATTATTGAGCTTTCATCAAATCATAAAAAACGAATTCAGTAGCGAAGTGGTAAAACGGTTCAAGTCTATTTTGACTATTAGTCAGTTTTCAATGAATATCTCGAAATCTAAGCCAGGTAGCAAAATTTTTGTAAAAACCTTTTTTGCAGCTCTCACTTCGCTCCATAAAAAAAGTTATTACAAAAATTTCGCTATCTCTCTTAGATTCGGAAATATTCCTCAATAACTCAACTGGGAGATGAGTCGACTTGAACCGTTTTACCACTTGGCTACTGAATTCTTCTCATTAAAATTTTGTTAAAAACAATAGACGAAACAATATTTTTCCTGTTAATTAGAGTAATTATTGATACTTGATCAAATCATAAAAAATGGATTACGCTTCTTAAAATTTTTGTTTCACTCATTTTGAAAGTTTGAAAAATAAAATTGAGGGAACAAACTTGCGAGAAATGACTGTAATTTCCATGTTTTTGTTTCCCTACCCCGGCACGAAAATTACGTAAATCTCTCGCAATTCTACAATTGTTTAGCGCTCATTTGTGTCTGTAGCAGATCACGGGATTGGAATCGATTAGCGACCTCTTCATAATCGACTCCTCAGGATATCCCGAGGAAGCGTGCCACTGAAGGTCATCCACTATTTTACGAGTACGTTACACCGTCTGTCGACGTACCGGTGGTCAACATTGCTGGATTTGCGGCGATTTTCTTCCAAATGCGGCCCACATCCACAAATCCTTTTTATAAACAAATTGTGCAATCTTCATTTTTTAATGAAAATAGAGTTTTTTGATTTCCAAGTGACAAATAAAATACCAAAAGCAATGAGAACGTTTACTTTATGTCATAAGACGTTGATCAAACAAATAAACATGAAAAATATTCGCCAGAATTTAATGATTCACTGTTGAAACAATCCAAGTTTTTTAAAATTCATTATTGAATTATCACTTTTTTAATGGAATTTCCTCAGCTACGAAACCTCTGTTTTCTCCTAAACTCACGTCATCAGAACTGAACAAAAAATTGCAAGAAAAATTTTGCAACAATAACTGAACGCTGTACCGTGAAAATTCGCTGGAAATTCGTTAAAATTCATCCGTTTTTCTTGAATTTCTTCACCACCACAACACAAATTTTACTGTTTGTTTAGGAAAATTAGTTAGGACGAAGAAAATTCATCTCTTGCCCCACATTTTCTCTTAATTTCAAATGCAAATTCCTGAAATACAATTTGGCTCTCGAATTAAAAAGCAAAACGATAATTTTTCGTGTGATTGTCTTCTGCATGCGCTAAAATTTAATAGATCGTTGGATACTCCCAATGACAATCATCAACTTGATGCAAGAATTTCACAGGACCTTTTTTCAGGAAATTCTGCTCTCGACGAAAAAAAATCTCAAAATTTCCAACTAAATCCCTTTCCTTGTGAAATATACCTCCAGTTACTAAAATTAATATGCAATGCGAACACTTTAACACTCTATCGCTGAATTATTGATCACAAAAAGTCGAAACCATCATGAATCAAATCTACATTCATGAACCCCAAACCTGAACCCAACCGCGTAATTTCAATGCTCGGCGTCGCACGAAAAACACCACAGATTCCCCCGAAAAAATGCCGCATGGTAAAACCCGAGTAAACGGCGCCGTAAAATCGCTCTGATTTCCATAAAATAAATCCCTTCACTTACTTGATAACAGTCTGCTTCATGCTGTTCGTCATTTTTCCAATACGTCCCGCTGTTTATTTTTTTGAACTAGCACATAACACTGAAGAGCACAAAATCCAACCGAAGAACCTCAACGAAAGCCAAATAACAGCTATTTCTATTGGAAATTATTTTTGTTTACGTATTTTATTCAAATAAATCGGCGGGACTATGCTCGAGGGTCCGGATGGATCGGATTGGAGCGCTAGTGCCGGACTGAACGAGCGCGCGCACTTCTCCACTGTATTTAACCCATTGCGGCGCGAGCTCACGAGGAGTATCGGTGTGAGGGGAGTGGGGGGACAGTCTGTGTAGTAGTGCGTCATAAGAGAAGCACGGCGAAGCACGCACACACTACAAAAAGACGAAAAGTGGGATGCCACGACGCGCCGCAATGGGTTGATGTATTTATGGCGTACACTGAGAGACAAACGACAAAGTTAAACAAGTCTCAAACTTAAACAAGTCTTACTTGTGCCAAGAGAATAGTTTTTTGAAAATTATTAAAAAAGGATTTTTTGGGGCCGAACATGCAGAGAGCGCGCCGGAATGAAAAATTTTTGGCGCAAAAATTGATTGAGTAGTTAAAAAAAAATTGCATTCTCTGTAGACGCAAGAAATGTCATGCACTACTCTTTCGTTATTCGGGGATAACGAAATTTCGACGTAATTTCCACGTATGGGTGATACGTATTATTTATTGATTTTTAACGAAATTTGTTGCAAGTTCGAAAACAAGTGAAAAACAAACGTTTTTTGACTTTTTTTTCAACTACTAGTTCCCGGAATAGTTACACAATAGTAGCTAGGAAATCTTCCAACTTATATCATTTTTCTACTGCTCTTCGAACTTGTATCATTTTTCTACTGCTCTTGTCCCTCTCGGATAAGGATTTTTTTTCTCAAGGGGTTGACGGAGTGCGAAAGGGGGAAATCGACACTCACGAGTTCCTCCGATTCTGTCGATTGCTCTAGTTGAATAAAATGGAGGTTGAAGATGTAACGAGTTGCCGGATTACGATTAAAATAGTGGTGAGGCTCCTAGAACGATAGAAATCGCAAATGTCTGTATTTTTGGGCTGAGTAGAGCCAAAAGGTCGAGTTCGTGAGTATTTTTTGGGATATTTGAATAATGAAGTTGTGGACATTGAAGGTGAACTGTACACATGCGTCAGAAAAACCGAAACGAAATACAAAATTAGAGACTTGTGATTCTGGGAATGAAGACCCTAAAAATAATTTGAATAATAAAACTGAAAAATATGTTTAATTATATGGACAACAATAATAAAGATAAAATAAAATATGACGGATCTAGATTGAAGATTATTTATTCATAAATTCTACTTTCACTTGAAGTTTTTTGCAGATTTTCTTCGACTTTTTTTTCCGGCGAAAAAAGAAGAAAGCCATACGAGAAAGTCAAGTATTCTTTTTCATAACAAAATATTTGCAAAAATAATGAAGAAATCAGGTCCCTGTGAGGGCTAAAATCAGTACGTTTTTAAATAACTCCAATTTCATTCCTGAGACCAGAGATAGCCACATTATTTTCATTTTCCAATGCGAAAAGAATTACGAAATAAAGAAAATTTCCAATACATAATTGTGCCACTTTTCCTCATCGAATACCCCAAGCAATCCACGAATGCAAGGACTCCTATTTCTCACGATATAATACTTCTAATAACAATAATGATAATAACGCGAATGACCTTCAACCAAGAATCAACGTCCGGAGAAGTCAGAAAAGAGAAGTAGGAAAATTGTCTAGTCTGTGGTATAATGTGTATTCGGAAACGAGGACGTCGTAGAGACTAGAGCGTTTCGTCTCAGTCCATTGACTTAATGAGTCGTCCTCGGAATTCAGTTCGTGAATGCGTGATGAAGTAGTAGAATGTAAATAATCCAATTGGACATTTTTGATGATTACGTCTTTATTTCTAAACCCATTGATTTAATTAACGGTAGACTGCGGTGGTTCTTCAAAATAGCGAGCGCGTGATTGGGGGATATTCATATTTATCCATTCCTGGAATAATTAATTGAGCATTAGGGCGGAGAAAAATCATTGTTGATTGGCCGTTTGTCTTCTGGAAGCCTAAATGTAATGAGATGGGAAGCATCAACTCGTTCTATTGCGTGTCACCACTATTCACTCCTGCTGAATGAAGAATACGAGAAATCTGATGAAGAATCAAAATACATTGATTCGATAGATTGGTACAATTCCCTGTCGACTGGTCTCCACATGACGATGTTGAAAACATTTTCAATCGTTTAATTAGCCTAATTATTGTTATGCAAGATGCATTGATTGAAGACCATGACAATCGTTAGGATCAATCGACGAGACACAAGTGATATCAATCAATGTAGGAATTCTCTGTTGGTAGATGGAACAAGTCATATGATGGTATGGAACCAATTATGATTAGTTGAACATAAAATTCTTCCACACGAGTAAAAAAACCCCATCGCAACAGCCTGGGACAAGATTTTTTTGTAGTGATTTTCAAGTTTGCAAGTTTGGGAAGTATGCAATACCAATTCCCAGACGAGAAATCGTGAGTAGCAGTACAGAAAACTTTTTTCTTATCTGTTAACCAACATCTTCATCTGAACGGGATTAATATCAACAAAAACTCCAAGAGTTGATTGATCCTCGAAAAGATGCAAAACCGGCCCAATGTCTCACAATGATCCTGGGAGATAACAGAAAATAAATGATTTATCGCGCTACCGTTAATCACAATTAGGTTAATACGATTCCGTACCTACATAATTTTGTTGTACAATTATGAAGAGACAAGTCGGGTATTGAACTAGTTTGCATCCGATGCATCCGATATACTACAGCGTTCGACTGACCCAATATACGGAAAATCAATTTTTTTCATTTGCCAATGTTAACGGCAGTAATAAACAAGTTCTAGGTTTTTTACGAAGGTATGAGGGCAATGGTTGTTGCGCCAGATACTGGGGTCGATGTTCCGGGGCAATCATAATTAACCAAATTACGTCATCAAGTTGTTAACGCACAAGAAAGATTGAATTGGAGGTAACGAATCTAATTTCTTGAAGTAATTGATGAAAAAAAAAACGTCGACATTTTTTTCTTCGTGGAATAGATGAAGTGAAACTAAATTTTTGAGGCAAAATCTTTGGGTTCAAATTCTCTTCTTGTTGTTCTTAAGAACTCCTAATTAGACTAAGAGAATTCATAATTAGACTAGATAAAAACTCTCTTGTTGTAATTAACGAGTTTGCTCTCAATTGTTTCATAAAGATTTGAAGTGTATTGTTAATAGTTCGAAGCTACTAACATCGGTGAATAGTTCCCATGTTTTCATGGTTATAATGAGAAGTATGTAGGTAAATTGAACTGTAAGTGCTCACAAATGCTTAAATAAAAAAACGTATCGGAATAAATAAAAATTATATGCTAATCAATTTTGATCGAGAGTGCATTGAAGGTATTTCACCAAAAAATGTGGTGTATCGATGCATCATCAGTGTTTGCCAGTAATAGCACTAATTATGAAGTATTTAGACGATATTCCTACGATTCTACGACGGTATTCTGACGATTTATTTGACAAACAGGGTCTGGTGCAACCGGCGCTGAGGAATTCGTAATTGGAAATGAAAGAAAAATGTTCTCAGAAGACAAAAATATTAAATCTTTAATACCTCCACCAATAATTGAGTTGGAGAGCTGCGGTTACGCTCATTTTTCTTCCTTTGGACTATACTTACCGATAAAAAATAGAAAAAAAATTTCAACTTTGAGGCAATTTTTCATATACAGAATTGATGGATCCGCTCATAGCACTCCCCAAATTTTTGGTTAATCATCCTACCTGTTCTTAAATTTTTAACACGTTCCCTTTAATACAATGGCAAAGAATATTATGCAAAATTTCTATTTTTCTTTGTCTGCAATATATGATGACCTGAATGAAACCGAAAATTTGTTATTCAAATTTTAAGGTAAACGTGGCTTTCTTATTCTCATTATTATCACCACGTGCTCAGAATGGAACAGATGATGAACAAAAAGTTATAAAGTGAAAGTTATCCCAGTCACTTCCACCGGAGAATAAGAACAGATTTTAGCACTTCTTTGTATTCGTAGCGATAATTCTCTATTTACTTTCGAACCAGTGACGATTAGTGATAAATAAAATAGACCAAAGTCGTAACTTATTATTGGAAGAGACGAGTGGCCTTCTTGGGGACATGTCGAGGCTGTTTACGAACACGAGGTGAATACTCATTTGTATCCACCAAAATACACGATGGATTGAGAGGAACGACTCAATGAAAGAGGAATATTATTTTCAATATCGATATTTTCAATATCGCAGAACGTGATTGAGTGGATATTATTAATTCTTATTTTGATGGGACATGGACTGCGACTACAATAGACTACGACTCATATTTTTCGGTTGCGCGATACAGAAACATTTCCAGTCATGTTGTCATCATCAATTTTGAAAAAAAAATTGGGCAGCACGATGTAAAGTCGAATCATCATCCACATCCTGGAGCATTATAACTTAACATTTATTTACAGGCCAATCTTCGTACAAGATGGGGTAAGCTACCCAGTAGATGGATAGGAAATTCCTTTTGGATAGGAAATTACGCAAAAAAATGTTGAAATGTGAATTGCTGCTTTGAATTTTCACTAGCTGTTGTGATTCTTAACCCCTGAATATCGATTTTTTTTTATCAATTTTGTTTTCAATTGCTAGAATACAAACGTTCATCTACTGGGAGGTTTTCTTAGGCGTCCATCTACCTGATGATTGAAAATGGCTGAATCTATGATGATGCTACATTATCGGTGTCAATTAATTTAAAAAGTGGTGTCAACAATCGGAGTTAATAGCGAGTTGTGGAAAGACTGATTTCTTTGAATACTATTGAGGTTCAACCCCAAGCGGGGTTTCCATGACTCCAAAATCGGAATCAGTGAAGTGGTGAAACGTTCCAAGTTAACCGTGAAGTCCTTGTTAATTACGAAATTTTCTCGGTAATGAGTAGTTCGAGAACGAAACACTAAAAGGCCTTTGTTGCAGATGAGAAAATTTTTCATTATTTCCTTAAATAGCATTCTTGACCGAGATAATTGAGCAATTATCACCCTGATTATTCAGCAATTGAACTAAAGTGTATTTTCGAAATGAAAAAT